AAATAAGAATATATGAAATTCTCTATCTGTGAGCCCTTCTTAGGAATCAACTGTAGGATAAGCCTCACTCATTCAACCAAGGAAAATATCTCTATAAAGGTATTTTAAAGAGTTCATAGAAAATTGAATTAAAAGATAAGTTTGTTTTGATTCAAAAAATATTGAAATCTTTTTTTTAATCTGATTTTTTTAAACTTTTATTTAATGAATATAGATTTCCAAAGTACAGCTTATGGATTACAATGGCTTCCCCCCCATAACTTCCCTCCCACCCGTAACCCTCCCCTTTCCCACTCCCTCTCCCCTTCCATTCACATCAAGATTCATTTTCAATTCTCTTTATATACAGAAGATCAGTTTAGCATATATTAAGTAAAGATTTCAACAGTTTGCACCCACATAGAAACACAAAGTGAAAAATACTGTTTGAGTACTAGTTATAGCATTAAATCACAATGTACAGCACATGAAGGACAGAGATCCTACATGAGGAGTAAGTGCACAGTGACTCCTGTTGTTGACTTAACAAATTGACACTCTTGTTTATGGCATCAGTAATCACCCTAGGCTCTTGTCATGAGCTGCCAAGGCTATGGAAGCCCCCTGAGTTCACTGACTCTGATCATATTTAGACAAGGCCATGGTCAGAGTGGAAGTTCTCTCCTCCCTTCAGAGAAAGGTACCTCCTTCTCTGATGACCTGTTCTTTCCACTGGGATCTCACTTGTGGAGATCTTTCATTTAGGTCATTTTTTTTTTTTTTGCCAGAATGTCTTGGCTTTCCATGCCTGAAATACTCTCAGGGGCTTTTTAGCTGGATCCGAATGACTTAGAGCTGATTCTGAGGCCAGAGTGCTGTTTAGGACATCTGCCATTCTATGGGTCTGCTGTGTATCTCGCTTCCCATGTTGGATTTTTCTCTCCCTTTTTTATTCTATCAGTTAGTATTTGCAGACACTAGTCTTGTTTATGTGATCCCTTTGGCTCCTAGTCCTATCATTATGATCAATTGTGAGCAGAAATTGATCACTTGGACCAGTGAGATGGCATTGGTACTTGCCACCTTGATGGGATTGAATTGGAATCCCCTGGTATGTTTCTAACTCTACTGTTTGGGGCAAGTCAGCTTGAGCATGTCCCAAATTGCACATCTCTTCCCTCTTTTATTCCCACTCTTATATTTAACAGGGATCAATTTTCAGTTAAGTTTCAACACTTAAGAATAACTGTGTATTGTCAGGAAAGTGAAGAGGCAACCGACAGAATGGGAAAAATATTTGCAAACTATGGAACAGATAAAGGGTTGATAACCAGAATCTACAAAGAAATCAAGAAACTCCACAAAAACAAAACAAACAACCCACTTAAGAGATGGGCCAAGGACCTCAATAGACATTTTTCAAAAGTGGAAATCCGGAGCCGGCGCTGTGGCTCAATAGGCTAATCCTCCACCTCGCGGCGCCGGCACACCGGGTTCTAGTCCCGGTTGGGGCACCGGATTCTGTCCCGGTTGCCCCTCTTCCAGGCCAGCTCTCTGCTATGGCCAGGGAGTGCAGTGGAGGATGGCCCAGGTGCTTGGGCCCTGCACCCCATGGGAGACCAGGAAAAGCACCTGGATCCTGGCTCCTGCCATCGGATCAGCGCGGTGCGCCGGCTGCAGCGGCGGCCATTGGAGGGTGATCCAACGGCAAAGGAAGACCTTTCTCTCTCTCTCTCTCTCACTGTCCACTCTGCCTGTCAAAAAAAAAAAAAAAAAAAAAAAAAAAGTGGAAATCCAAATGGCCAACAGACACATGAAAAAATGTTCAAGATCACTAGCAATCAGGGAAATGCAAATCAAAACCACAATGAGGTTTCACCTCACCCTGGTTTGAATGGCTCACATTCAGAAATCTACCAACAATAGATGCTGGAGAGGATGTGGGGAAAAAGGGACACTAACCCACTGTTGGTGGGAATGCAAACTGGTTAAGCCACTATAGATGTCAGTCTGGAGATTCCTCAGAAACCTGAATATAACCCTACCATTCAACCCAGCCATCCCACTCCTTGGAATTTACCCAGAGGAAATTAAATTGGCAAACAAAAAAGCTGTCTGCACATTAATGTTTATTGCAGCACAATTCACAATAGCTAAGACCTGGAACCAACCCAAATGCCCATCAACAGTAGACTGGATAAAGAAATTATGGGACATGTACTCTATAGAATACTATACAGCAGTCAAAAACAATGAAACCCGGTCATTTGCAACAAGATGGAGGAATCTGGAAAACATCATGCTGAGTGAACTAAGCCAGTCCCAAAGGGACAAATATCATATGTTCTTCCTGATTGGCGACAACTAACTGAGCACCAAAGGGGAAACTTGTTGAAATGAAATGGACACTATGAGCAACAGTGACTTGATCAGCTCTTGTCCTGACGGTTGATATACAATGTAATACTCTATCCATTTTAGTATTTTTTTGTTCTAGTACTATTGGTTGAACTCTGTAATTAACACACAATTATTCTTAGGTGTTTAAATTTTAACTGAAAAGTGATCCCTGTTAGGAATTTAGAAAACATTAAGCTGGGTGAAATAAGCCAGTCCCAAAGGGACAAATATCGTATTCTCTCCGTGATCGTTGACAACTAACCAAGCACTAAAAAGGAAACCTGTTGAAGTGAAATGAACACTGTGAAAAACAGTGACTTGATCAGCCCTTGCCCTGACTGTTGATGAAAACTTAATATCAAAAAATATTGAAATCTTTACATAGAAGGGTCATCAAGATGTTCATGGGAAATGAGCATTATGAAAAAACAATGAATGGATTTCGAACATTTTTTGAAATAAAAAATAACCCACCTTTTAATTACATTTTTCATGAATTTTTGAAGTCCTATCATATTTTAAAAGTAACAAAATAGTTGAAACACTAGCTAACCTAAAAAAGGAAATAAATGAAGGGGTTAGAAAGCACAAACATACAAACTAAAGTGGCAAAGGGGAAGTAGCCTGACACAGAAATTTAAATAATTCTAAGACTACCATCTTTTTATTTATTTGAAAGGGAGAGAGACAGGGAAAGAGGCAGAGATATACTCAGATCTTCCATCTGCTAGTTTGCTCCCTCAAATGCCCACAATAGTCAGGGGTGGGCCAGATGGAAGTCAGGAACCTGGAACTCTGTCTGGGTCTCCTTCGTGGGTGACAGGGACCCAACTACTTGAACCATCACTTGCTGCCTTCACAGGTGTATATCAGCAGGATGTTGGAATTGGCAGAGCTGGGACTCGAACCCAGATATTCCGATATGGGATGTGAGTATCCCAGGTAATACTTTAACCACTGCACCAAAAGCCCACTCTACAGATCCACTTCACAGGCTTCTCAGCAAGTGAATTTGAAAATTGAAAAGTTGAAGTGGGAAATTTCCTAAAGACATGCAGGTTACCAAAACTGATTCCACCAGAAACAGAAAACGTGCAAACAGACCAGTTTCTTCAGCAGAGAGAAAGTTATCAAGGAATGACTATGCAAGAAAAGAAGTAGACCCATATGGTTTTAGAGGATAATTCTGCCTAGGTATTCCCAGTGCTCCTTAGATTGTTCTAAGGCATTAACAAAGACAGAAAAACTTCTCAATTATTTTTTCTGATTTTAAATACTTAAAGAGAAAGTAACAAATATTACTTATGAGTCTTCCTGCAAATTTTCTAGATAAAAAATTATTACAAATCTTATATCACATTAAGAGAATTAAGACCAAGTGAAGTTTTACTCTAGGAGCCCAATAGGGTTCCTACAGAGCTAGCATAACAACAATATTACAATATTAGGAAATCTATTATGTAATATATATGATAACATATATACTTAAATACATAAAATATACTAACAATGTGATATGTATATTAATACATATTCATAGGTCTAGGGAAAAGATCCATATGAATAATGGACTGTTTGGGGGCCAGCATTGTGGTTCAGCATGGTAAGCCTACCTAGCTCCCCTATGAGCACAGGTTTGTCCTGGTTCCAGCTGCTCCATTTTCCATCCAGCTCCATTTTAATGTGCCTGAGATAGCAGTGGATGACAGCTCACGTACTTTGGCTCCAAACAGGAGACCTGGAAGGAGTTCCAGGCTCCTGGCTCTGGTCTGGACCAGACCTGGCCATTGCAGCCCTTTGGGGAGTGAACCAGCAAATGCAAGATCTCTCTCTCTCTCTGTCTCTCTTTCAAGTCTGCTTTTCAAATAAATCTTTTTTTTAAAGATTTATTTATTTATTTGAAAGTCAGAGTGATACAGAGAGAGGAGAGGCAGAGAGAGAAAGAGGTCTTCCATCCGATGATTCACTCCCCAGACGGCTGCAAAGGCCGGAGAAGCTGCAATCCGAAGCCAGGAGCTAGGAGCCAGGAGCTTCTTCTGGGTCACCCAGTGCAGGGGCCCACGCACTTGGGTCATCTTCTACTGCTATCCCAGGCCATAGCAGAGAGCTGGATTGGAAGAGGAGCAGCCGGGACTAGAACTGGTGCCCCTATGGGATGCCGACACTTCAGGCCAGGGCATTAACCCGCTGCACAACAGCGCCGGCCAATCTTTTTTTTTTCTTAAAAAAAAAAAAAAAAAAAAAGACACGAGGAGAATTAGACTATCAAACAGTAAAGCCTACTGCAGAGCCTCTATGAGAACACCGCAGGGGCAGGCATTTGGTCTAGTGGTTAAGATGCTAGTTGGGAGTGCTCTGTGCCACATCAGAGTGCCTGGGTTCAATACCCAGCTCCAGCTCTGAACACAGCTTCCTGCTAATGCACACCAAGTGATGGCCCAAGGAGCTGGGTCCCTACCACCAGTGTGGGAGACCTGGACTGAGTTCCTAGCCCCCAGCTCTGGGTGCCCTGGCCATTCTGGACATTTGGGATGGAAGTGCTCTCTAAAACAAATTTTTAAAAATACTTGGGGGTCGGGAGGTGGCATTGTGACACAGCTGCTACTTGTGACATCAGTGTCCCACATCAGAGACAGTGTCAGTCCTGGCTGCTCTGCTTTGGACCTAGCTCTCTGCTAATGCTCCTGGGAATGCAGAAGATGACCCAAGTGCCTGGGTCCCTGCTGATCATCTGGGAGACCAGGATGGAGTTCTTGGCTCCTGGCTATGGCCTGGCTCAGACTTGGCTGTTGTGGCCCTTTGAGGAGTGAACCTACAGATGGAAGATTTCTCTCTGTCTCTCTCTGTCACTCTGCCTTTCAAATAATAAATAACTCTTTCTGGGCCAGTGTTGTGACATAGCAGGTAAAGCCATTGCCTACAACACTGGCATTCCATATGGGTGCCATTTTGCATCCTGGCTGCTCCACTTCTGATTCAGCTATCCTGGGAAAAGCAGCAGAGGATGGCCCAAGTGCTTGGGCCCCTGCACCCATGTGGGAGACCCAGATGAAGCTCCTGACTCCTGGCTTTGGCCTGACCCAGCCCTGGGCATTTTGGCCACGTAGGGAGTGAACCAGCAGATGGAAGATTCTCTCTCTGTGTGTGTGTGTGTGTGTGTGTTTGTGTGTAACTCTGACTTTCAAATAAACAGGTAAATCTTTGAAAAAAAAAAAGAGGAAAGTTAAAACTGATTGAAATGTCCTGTTTCTCACCCCTAGGATCTGAGTGAAAGAGCATGCGGTATCAGCAAGTCATGGGGCTGGAGGATGAGCGTCTGCTGTGGGGTTGTCCCCTGGGCTTCACAGCTCCTCCCACAGCACCGGTCCTGAGCACTGTCTGTGGGTGAATGACAGGTCAGTGTTGTAAAAGGTTAACTTCAGGGAACTCTGGGTTAAGGGTTAAGGGTTGTTATGGCTGGAATATGAGTTAATCTGAAACTCATTCAGGAGTTTAAATCCTGAAGTCTTTTTTTTTTTTTACTTTTATTTTTACTTTTTAAAATTTTCACATTAATAAGTTTTTAACAGATTCAATATATTTTGTAGATACATTTTTTAAAAGATTTATTTATTTATTTGAAACTCAAAGTTATACAGAGAGAGGAGAGGCAGAGAGAGAGAGAGAGAGAGAGAGAGGTCTTCCATCCTCTGGTTCACTCCCCAGTTGGCTGCAACGGCTGGAGATGCGCTGATCCGAATCCAGGAGCCAGGAGCTTCTTCCAGGTCTCCCACGTGGGTGCAGGGGCCCAAGGACCTGGGCCATCTTCCACTGTTTTCCCAGGCCATTGCAGAGAGCTGGATTGGAAGTGGAGCAGCCAGGTCTCTAACTGGCGCCCATATGAGATGCGGGCGCTTCAGGCCAGGGCATTAACCCACTGCGCCACAGCACCAGCCCCTGTAGATACAATTCTAAGAATACACTGATATTCCTGTCCTCCCTCCTTCCCTTTCTCTCTCTTTTTTTTAAATTTTTGAGATAACATTTTAAATTTCCATTACAACAAAAAGGCTTAATACTTCACCTAATGAGAAGTTTAACAAGTGAAAAGCAAAATGACCCCAGTTTAGTGGGAGTACAGACAATGGCTATAAACAATGATTGAATGGAAATAATGATCTTTTCACCCATATACAGTAAATTAATCACAGATCATTAAAACCATAGTAGTGTAACATTCGTAACCATTGGTTTGATGAAGGTATAAAACAAAGTTTTTCAGAAACTAGATTTGCGGCAATACTGATACACACAAGCTTTCTTCCTTCCTTTCTTTTTTGTTTTTTATTTTTTAAATTACAGCTCCCGTATATAAAAGAGAACATGCAGTATTTGTCTTTCAGGGTCCTAAGCTCTGAAGTCTTACGGTGATAGTATTAAGAAGGTGGAAACTCAATCCATTTGCAATGTTTAGAGATGGGGCCTTTGAAGGAGCGATCAGATTGGCCTAGCTCATCAGGCTGGAGGCCCCATGACTGAGTCCTGGCAGCCTCGTAAGGAGAGACACACTCACAGGCTCATGCACGCCCCAGCTCTCATCCCATGTGGCCCTGTGCCACCCTGTGCCTCTACAGCAAGAACATCCCCAGAGACTCAGTCAATGGAGTCTGCCCAGTCTTTCTTGTTTTTAAGATTTATTTATTGAAAGAGTTACAGAGAACGAGGGAGAGACAGAGACACAGACACACAGAAAGAAACAGAGATCTTCCATCTGCTGGTTCACTCCCCAGATGGCTGTCATGCCCAGTGCTGGGCCAGGCCTAAAACAGGAGCCAGGAGCTTCACCTGGGTCTCCCACATGGGGTTCACTCAATTGTGAACTCTGAACCTCTGCAACCATGAGCCAAAGTAAACCTCTTCCTTTGGTAAGTAGCCTGCGCCTGGTATTCTTGTTTCAGTGATGGAAAGCTGACCCCCACAAGGGTATGTGAGAATCCTTTGTTCTATTCTTGCAACTTTCCTGTAAGTCTGAGATGGTGAGAAATGTTTTGTTGTTGTTGAGTTTGCTTTGACAAGTGATTCCGGAACTATACAGAAGCTACCCACGTGCAGGTCAGAGCTTCTGTATCACCAGGCAAAATAAGCCATCCCTTGCTGCCCACTGCTGGACAGCCAAGTACCAGGGTCGAGCGTGGGTAAGAGGAAAGCATTTATTCCCGGAGGCCTGCGGTCTTGGGAAAGAGTGATCCTTGGATCCAAAATATACTCTTTCCCTCCCAAGAAGCCTGCGAAAAGTGTTTTTCAAGGGAGGGGAGTCACTGCAGGTGGAAGTTAGTTAAAACAATGACTCCAGTCAGCGGGCTCATTAAGCAGGGTTTCAGGCTTTGTTTTGATGCTGGTCTGTCCACGAAATCGAGGGGCTCAGCCAGCTGGGGGGCGGGTCCTATAATGAAACTCAGCTGTTTGCAGTTGATGGTTGTGACTCTCTCCTTAGCTGGGTGTGAGGTCTGCCCTCTGCCATCTGCCATCTTAGGCTCCCACTTCCATGCAAATATCATCATTCACACGATAAGTCACAGGTAATTCACAACATCAGCAGTTGGTCCTTGTTAGCTGAAATACAAAAAGGGAAGGGAAGAAACCTTCATTATGGTTATAGCTGGTCTCTAATAAGCAGAGCAGGTGCTCCCAGGTGAGCATTAGCAGGAAGTTGGAGTCAGAAGTAGAAGAGCTGGGACTCTAACCAGGCACTCCAATACGGGATGTGGGCATCCCAAGTGGTAGCTTAACCACCGCACCAATTGCCTGCCTACTGCTGGCTCGAAGGGAACAAGGAGACAGAAAATGCAAGTGGCCTCTGGCGTCCAAGAACCATCCTGGCCCCAAGCTGGCAAGAAAATGGTTCTACAGCCACACAGGACTGAAGCCTGTCCACAGCCCAGAAGTCCCCCGGAAGGATGCCCTTCTAGAGTCTCCCAGAAAGGGTCATGGCCTCTTGACACCTTGATTTTGGGGCGTGAGACCTGAAGCAGAGACTCAGCTAAGCCATGCTGTGCCCAGGAACGGTGAGTAAAATATGGGTGTGCTTTAAGTTTGTGGTCCTCTGTGACAGCAGCAAGAGAAGAAAATGAATAGGTCAGCTAACCTGGAGAGCATGGTTAGGGGTCGGGAGACCCAGCAGGCAACACTGTCGTTCTCTCCTTGTATCTACAGAGCAGAGGTGCTCACTAGGTGTTGTAGGACAATGATAATCGCAGTGACACTGGGGACCTCTGCACCTCTGTGAGGTCTCAAAAGCCTGCTCACACTGACTCCAGCCTCCAATGGTGAATTCAATAGGACCTAGCCCCTCAGAGCAATGCCCTGCCTGTCCCTGTGTGGTGGGAGATGTGAGTGCGGGAGCCTCCTGCAGGTGGAGCTGCCCAAACCCAAGATATCCTTGAGTCTCTGGGGCTCGCTCTCTCTGCTGTAAAGGGAGCAGAGAGTGAGTTTGAGTTTGAGAATGTCTTTTATACTAAAGAGGTTATTTTCATTTTTATTTATTTTAAAGTTGGGTCCAGAGGCATACACCTTCCAGGAGATGAAGAGGGGTACATAAATTTTGTGCTTGTGCAAAGGCCACAGGTCAACATATGGCAAAGGTGTTGCTTTGGGTCTGTCCAGCTTCTCTCAGTAACACCTGGCCCCGACCCTGTGTGAGCTCTGCGGGACTGCAGGTGGAGTTTGTGTGAGGGACTTCAGATTCTCAGGCCTCAGTCTCCTCATTTGTAAAATGGGAAGAGGGCTGAAACAAAGTCAATGACTTTTATGATGTTTGAGCATCTGTGATCTCTATGTTTGGTCAAATTGTCTCACCCCGTGTGGCCCACATCTTAACTGGTTGCCAGGTCTGGATCTGGCATGGCCAAAGGGTAAGCAGCAGCCTTACCGTACCCCCCTCCCCCCGCCCAACTGTGCCCTCCCCACTCATTTATAAAACCTTCCTTTGTTTCTTCTTTGTGGCCTCAAGCAGAATCAATCCTGACCATAAACTTGGAGGGGCTGGTTGTGGATCTCTGAGGTCTGTTCCAGCTCTCAGATTTATGGCCCATTCATTCTGGCTTTGAGCAGCCAATCGCCAGGGTCAAAAACATGTTCCAGGAAGACTGAGGACTCTTCACAGATTTAATGCTGAGTTTAATCCTTAAACCTGGCTGTATAGTGTTCATGGGTTTCCAGTGTACCCCTGTTTCTAATTGGATGATATAAACACACATCGTACATTGACACTGTCAGTGTGATGCATGCTGAGTGGTTGGCCTGTGGGCATTACCCCTGATTGTCCCCGAAGCATCACTGCCCCACTGGCCTGGCGAAGAACAGCACCTAAGCAGGGTCCTTGCAAGTCGTTCAGCTGGGCCGGCTAGGCCTGCAGCTCTGCAGAGCCGGGGCACTTGATGTTGGAAGGTCAGGCACAAGGGTTCAGTACTAAGTGATCTCCCACAAAAACTGGGTGCTAGTCAGGGTCCAACCAGGACACAGAACCAAGCAGTAGTTGGAAAGTTTAACATAAAGGGTGATTAGCTACCGAGGGGGTTGGTCTAATAAGACAATGGCTATTGAGAAACGAAGAGAATTCTTATGAATATGGGGACCACACACATAGGTGGTGGCTACTCCCTGGGGTGGGTGAGATTGGCCATCTAAGGAAGAGGCCCTCCGCTGGCATGGCTGACATCTAGACTTTGCTAGAGGGGAAGGAGAGACCCACTGGTAGGCAGAGAGCTGACTGTGATGCACCCCCAATAGAACCTGATGGAAAGTTGCTCCCTGAGAAATAAGGGCAGCTGACTCCAGGGAGGGGCGGTATCTTAGAGCTTGCTGCCCCCATGCCTGCTGGGGAGAGCTACTCCAGCTGGCCACCGGCCACGGCCAGTAGTACTGGAGAAACAGCCCGCTGTGGGAGCCTGGGGAGAGGCCCACCGCAGGGCTGCAGAGAGCAATGCCTGCCCTATGCAGCACCCCTCCATCACCCTCCACCTGTCAGAACTAACACTGTGCCACATTTGGAAAGGAGCCCAGGGAGACAATTCTAATCAGGTACATATTATCTCATTTAATCCTCCACCAACCTCATGACACAGACATTCATTTTCTTCTGCAGACAAAGATCCTCAGACTGACAAAGTGAAGTGACAAGTCCATGGTTACCCAGCTTGTGTGTAAGAGAGTTTGGAGCAAATTCATGTCAGTGACTCCTCAACTTGTGCTTTTTAAAATACTGACATTCATTTTTAGTTGAAAGAGAGACAGATAAACAGAGTAAGCTCTTTCATCCACAGGCTCATTCCACAAATGCTCACGACAGCCAGGCTGGGTCAGGCCAGAGCTAGGAGCCAGGAGCTTCATCTGGGTCTCCCACATGAGTGACAGGTGCCCAAGGACTTGGACCATCTTCTGCTGCTTTTCCCAGGCCACTAGCTGGAAGCTGGATTGGAAATAGAGCAGCCGGGACTCAAACTGGCACCCATATGGGATGCTGACCTTGCAGTCGGCAACTTACCTGCTATGCCACAACACTGGACCCCAAAGTGCTACTTTTTAATAAGAGTGGCAGGAGAAAGAATGAGGGTTGACCCAGGAGAGAAGAATTGCAAGACTTTGTCAGGGATGGGTCAGGTGCAAGGGGCCTGAGAGCAGGGGGTAGACTTCAGAGAATCTCTGTGAAATGGAAAGGCATGGGGAGATGGTGACTATGGGAAAGCTAAAGAATCTAGAATCACAGCTTGGGAGCTGAGGTGGCCATGCAGTGGGCAGGTCCAACCCGAGAGCTAGGAAATAGCTGGCCCCCAAATGTCTTGTTTTATAGAAACAGAGAAACCATCTATCCTAAGACCATTCTGGGCTCACTCAATAGGAAAAACTCTGCCAATGAAAATGATGCCATATTTATATCACTTCAAATTTTTCTTTATAGTTATTGAAAGCATTCCCTTGTGGATCCTATCACACGTTACTCTAGTGCTTACATGAAATTGAGCAAGTAAGTGAAATACATTGGTTAGTTTCAGAAAAACTAAAAGATCTCCCCATTTAGCATCTACATCCAACTATGTGGAATCACTCGGGCTCACGGGGTGAATGAGCTCCAAGGGGCAGCAGAGGTACATTTCTTAAAGAGAAGTTTCTGGAACTTAGTGATTTCTTGGCCTTTGGGTCACATTCCCAGGTGTGGGATATGAGTTCCTTCTCATATGTCACTCTCTGTCATATCTTCCTTTGTTGGGTGCTATAACCACTTGACTGTTGCTTTGCAAAGATGAAATATGAAATTCTAGTGAGACATATCTGATTCATTGACAACAAATTTTCTCTGCATCCATGCTCATCAGCCTATTTCTTCATTTCAGGGCTGAATCACAGTGTAACATTTTTCAGGATTTTTGAAATGCAGAGTTACACAGAGGCAGAGAAAGAGAGAGAGGTCGTCATACACTGCCGGTTTACTCCCCAAATGGAGCTAGGCCGATCCGAAGCCAGGAGCTTTATCTGGGTCTCCCACAGGGGGACAGGGGCACAAGGACTTGGGCCATCTTCTACTGCTTTCCCAGGCACATTAGCAGGGAGCTGGATCAGCAGCAGAGCAGCCAAGACTCAAACCAGCACCCATATGGAATGCCGGCACTGTAGGTGGCGGCTTTACCAGCTATGTCATAGCACCAGCCCCGAGGATATTTAAAAATAGCAATTAAACTCACCACGTATAGTACCAACATTATCCATTAAATTGACAACCACAGGAGATACTTTGATGGAACAAGCCTGTGTGAACAACAGCAATGGCTGGTTGTTTTAGCTGTCACCTGCCTCATAGCAGTTGTCAGCGACATTCCTATCGGAATCCTAAAGTGTGCACCTTAGAGCTGACTTACTCAGGACCAAGCCCGTATTACCAGGGAGGGGAAGAGGAAGAGACCATGAGGCCTTGTGGCCTGCACATTACAATCACCAGGGGACAACACTGAGCCATTTTTCCAGAGATTCTCAGAAGAATAGGTAGGGAATGGGCCTCCCAACATGAGAAGGGTTTAAAAGCTCCCCAGGTGACTTCAATGTGCCAGGTGATTCCAGCTGGCCATGAGGTCCCAAGGTTTCTGGGAAAGAGAAGCACGCCTCCTACAGGGATATCCCTGCTGCCCAGGGCGCTGAGAGGCGGCTGTGTCCTTGCCCTGTGCTGTGGCAAAGCCTTAAAAGGCAGAGCTGGGCTGTGGGCCCTCGGGAGTCCCTGCCCTTGTCCCCAACGCCACAGGTGGCCCCCTCTGCAGGGTGCTGGACAAGAAGCTTCAGGTTTTGTTCTAAAGCCACATCCTCCTGGAGGGACCAGGTCGCAGCTGCTCTGCCTCCTAATCTATGCGGGTACTTCAAAAAGTTCACGGAAAATGGAACGAAAACATGTTTATTTTGATGCAAAAAAAATTGTTGAAATCCATGCAGCTTGATCATTACAAGCATTTTCTATCAACTCTGTGAAGAGGTCATGTTTGCACGGATTTCAACATGTTTCTGCATTAGAATCAACGTTTAAGTCCATTTCCCAAGTGTCTGCACGGCCGGTTTATCGGCCTCCCCCCCCCCCCCCCCCCCCGGCTTTACCCCTCCACACGTGCACGCATGCACCCACCCACACACACCTGTCCCTGCCCCCAGCTGCGTGCACTTGAGGACTCGCCTCTCCCAGGCAAATCACCTCCCATAAGGCTCCCAGGGTTCTCAGCGCCTGAATTCTCCACACACAGGTGGGTATCTCAGGGGACGTCAGCTCCAGCTCGGTGTTCAGTGCTCTGCCCTTCTATTTCCTGCTCAGACGGGCAAGTTTGGGCAACACTCTCCCTCCGCAGTGGAAAGCTGGTCCATCCCATGAACTCGCGGCAGAAGCTGGGCAGTAGCAGGGCTGTGGCCTCTGGACCTGGAACTACTGGGTAGGCAACCAACCTTGACATGCAGGTCTAAGCAAGGCTCCCTATGCGGCCCTTCTCCCACAAAGAGAGCATTCTGGGTCCTGGGGATGGCCCTGGGCTGGGCCTCGCCTTGGCCTCCAGGGTAAGCAATCTTAAGTGGAATCCCGTAGTGACGGGGCGGGCGTAGAAGCCTAGCACAGCAGGCTTGTAGCACACCGGGAAGACGCCCGCCTGCTTAGCCGGTGAACCGCTCGTGCGTGTAGACTCCTGCAGTACGCACGCAAGGCTGCGGACGTAGGCTGGCGGCGTGGATCTTTCCGCTCTCACTGGATGCCGTGGGTCCCTCCCTTGAGACGAGTGGCTGTCTCTCCCAGCCGGATTGCTACGGGTGGTTTTCTCCGGAGTCAGCGTTAAGCGTGCGCCCTCTTGGATTTCGGGCTCCTGCTGGCGCGACGGCAGGTACGCGGGGACCTCAATTCTGCTGCCCCTTGATGCCCTGGTCTGGTGAAGTAGGTTGGTGTTTGTGATTAAGGGGTGCCAGCACTCCCAGAGGAAGAGGCGGGCACAGGGGAAGGCTTGGAGGGAGGAGTTTCCACCCCTGGCCTGGGCAAGCTGTGGTCCCATTTAGAATGACAATCCCGTGCTGGGCTCCTGACCGCCCAAGGGCCTTGGGGACGCTCTGTAAGTCACCCTCCACCTGTCGCATTCTGCGGTCCAAAGGCAGTCAACTGGGCGTGCTGGCCCTGTCCCGTGGGAGGTGAGGCTATCCTTGAGCCTTGTAACCAGACTTTGATTTGAGAACTTTGGGGGAAGAAATGCAGAGATGTCAGGATTATTGTCAGGATGTAAGAAAACGTTTCTGTGAGTGCATGTGCTTGTGTGTGTGGTGTGTAGACTGACTTATGTGAAAGGCAGAGCAATAGAGAGAGGTGGGTATGGGGTGAGAGTAGAGAGAGACCGTGATCTCCAACCGGCTGGTTCCCTTCCCAAATGACCACAACAGCCAGAGCTAGGCCAGGCTGAAGCCAGGAGCTTCTTCCAGGCCTCCCATGTGAGTGGCAGGGGCGAGCACTTGAGTCATCCTCACTGCGTTCCCCAGACGAATTAGCAGGGAGCTGAATTGCAGCGGGGACTCGAACCAGTGTTCTGATATGGGATGCTGGCGTTGCAAGTGGTGGTTTAATGGCTTGTGCCATATGCTGTCCCCTGTACTTGTGTTTTTTAAAATCATTTTAAACATTTTATTTGGGGGTGGGGGGAGAGAGAGACAAGCACAGAGAGCTTGTACCTACTGGTTTGTTTCCAAAGTGCCTGTGATGGCCAGGGCTGGCCCCAGACTGAGGCAGGAGCTGGCAACCCAGTTCCATTCTGTCACATGGGTACAGGAACGCTATTACTTGAGCCATCACGGCTGCCTCTCAGAGTCTGTCAGCAGGGAGCAGGAGTCAGGGGCCAGAGCCAAGAATGGAATACAGGTCCCCCACTGTGGCATGTGGGTGTCTTTAACCAGCTTCCTAATCAACAGACTAAATGCCTGCCCCCGCACACGTGTTTTATTTTTTAAAAGATTTTTTATTTGAAAGGCAGAGTTAGAGAGGGAGATAGAGCGATCTTCCATCTACTGGTTCACTCCCCAAATAGTCACAAAGGCCAGGGCTGGGCCAGGCTGAAGCCAGGAGCCAGAAGCTTCCTCTGGGTCTCCCCCATGAGTATAAGGACCCAATGACTTTGGCCGTCTTTGACTTAGGTGCGTTAACAGGGAGCTGCTTTGGAAGTAGAGCAGCTGAGAATTGTATGGGTGGCCATACGAGATGCCGGCATCGCAGGCGGCAGCTTGACCTGTTACTCTACAATGCTGGCTCCTGGTGCACGAGTTTTAAATATAAGTGGGTTCAAAACTTCCTTAGAGTCCCAGAAGAGTGGTGACTCCTAAAATGGGTAAGCAGCCATTTGTGTGTAGTAAAGCTCATTTGATTTTGGAATTTTTCTCTCATGCAGATGGTAAATCTCATGTTGCTTAGGCGGTTTGATTTAACAGAACTTACTGAGGGGCCATGATGGAGTCTAATGTTGGTCACTGAGGATCATAAATTAAAAGTAGATAAGAGGCCTGCGCCGCGGCTCAATAGGCTAATCCTCCACCTGCGGCGCCGGCACCCCCGGGGTTCTAGTCCCGTTTGGGGCACCGGATTCTGTCCTGGTTGCCCCTCTTCCAGGCCAGCTCTCTGCTATGGCCAGGGAGTGCAGTGGAGGATGGCCCAGGTGCTTGGGCCCTGCACCCCATGGGAGACCAGGAGAAGCACCTGGCTCCTGCCTTCGGATCAGCGCGGTGCGCCCGGATTGGAGGGTGAACCAACGGCAAAAGGAAGACCTTTCTCTCTCTCTCTCTCTCTCTCTCTCTAACTCTGCCTGTCAAAAAAAAAAAAAAAAAAAAAAAAAAAAAGTAGCTAAAGAGAGCCGAGGAAAGGCAGGAGGGTTGGCCTATAACAACAGAAGAGTCTAAGCGGCAGCATTCACAAAGGCCAACAGTGGAAACAACTCCCATGTTTATGGATAAATGAATGGATTAAAAAAAAAAGTCTTATATGATAGGTATTCAAAATGTTAATGAAAGGTGTCTATGATGAAAAATCTGTGCATAGATTTCAAAATATTTTGAACCAAAATAAACATATATTGTAATTGTATTTTCCATAAACTGTTTGAAGGAGTGCTGAAATGGTGATGGGTCTCCCGGGGAAATTCTGACACCTGCTGCAATGGGATGAACAGTGAAGACCCTGTGAAGAAAGGGCCAGCCCTCTGATTCCACCACGTAAGGTACTTAGAGTCATCAGCATCACAGAGACAGAAAACGTTATGGTGGTTCCAGGAGCTGGGGAGAGGGGAGTCGGGAGTGGTGTTTAGGGGACATGGAGTTTGAGAGTTGTGTGGACGGATGGTGGGAACAGTTGTCTGGGGAAGTGAATGTATGTCATCCCATTGAATTGGTTAAAATGGTAAGTTTTATGTTTGTGTATATTTGAACACATAAAAAGGACTTTAGTCACAGCCACATTACTGGAGGGTCTCATTTACTTGTTACCAATGGGTTACACATTTGGCTCTAGGCTTTCCAGCAGTTAACGTTTCAAGCATTTTTCCTTGGAGAGTGAGGGGCTTCCCTACCTTATGAAGCAAAACACTTTGTTATAATGGCCACTTAAGTGACGCCAATTAAAACCAATACCTATTACACGGCCATTTAAACCCGTGACAATTTGCTGATGCTTTTTATCGCCTAATGGGATGGGAAAGAGAAGGTGAATTTATATTTAACTGAAACATGTACTTTAAAGTGAGGGTAATATCCAACAAATTGGTGTTTTATGAAATAGAGATGCTGAGGTGGGTTGAGGAAGTGGGGGAGACACGGGCACAGGGACACAGACCCCGCTTAAGTTCAAGCCTTCTGCTTCAGGTTGGTCACGCACACTCAAAATTCCAGTTTCCAGCACCCGGAAAGTCTCTCTCTGGTCCAGGAATGTCTTTGCCACCAGCAAGGAGCTGTCAGCTCTGATGTCTTCTCTGGAGAGGTGCAGCAGCCCCCCCACCCCACCCCCATACCTCTGTCTGCCATGAGGCCTCCTCTGCAGCGCTCCTTAAATGACTGTCGTTTCTCTATCATTTTCCAAGGTCAAAGTGAAGCAGAGAGGATCTGCGGGTGAGAGAAGCTGTCATTCAGCAGGCACCTTTCTAGCCCAAATAGGCCTCTGCATTAGTGCCAGGACCTGGCAGGCCAGGCTAGGGTCAGAGAGAAGCATCACCATTTCAGGGCTCCATCCCAAGGCTCAGGCACGCGTGGGGTGCCCCCAGGCCTGTCACATGTTTGAGGGTCTGGGCTCGCCATGAGAAGCCACTGACTCTTCTCCCTCCTGGGGCCACCTCTTGGCATTTGAGAGCAGGCACCAGCATTCCATGATGTTATGCGAATCCTTCCCTGCAGCCTTGGGTCTGGTCCATTTCTCAAGGCTGCTCCATGCTGGGAGCCTGTGGCTACAAAGGTGGCCCCTTGACCTTCATCATTTGTTACCAGGCTTGCAGCTCTCTGCTGTTTTCCCATCCTGTGAATTAGCTGCAAGCCTTGCTGTGGTCCATGTGGGAGTGAGTGACAGGCTTCTGTGTGGAAGTGCCCCAGGGTAGGATGCTGAGGCCAGACCATCAGATGGCTGTGCATCCGATGTAAGGGAAGAAATTCCAGCTTCCAGCACCCGGAAAACTGTGCATTTTAAGTAAGGGAAGAAAAGAACCCAGGGGTGGCCTCAGAAGATACATGTGGCCAGGGGTCAGTCAGTTGCAGAAACAAAGAGATAGAGTGCTCAGGATCAAAGTCACGGAGACACGTGGCCCCAGATCCCACGTGGACCTGTGGTATCTGCAGGAGAAGCTGGCCTGAGGACAAGTCCCGAGGCTGTGGCACAGCTTTAGGGAAGCCACTCGCCTTAAGGTCGGCTTCCTTGGTCATTGTGGGACAGTAAATGGCACAGTGCCCGTGGAGTTGGTGAAGTCAGGTGGCTCTGAATCCGGTCTCCTCTGTCCCAGGAGGAAGAGGCAGCTTTCAGCCATGTTTTCAGTCGAGTCCACTGTGGCAATGACATTTTTTTTTTTTTTTTTTTGACAGGCAGAATGGATAGAGAGAAAGGTCTTCCTTTGCCGTTGGTTCACCCTCCAATGGCCGCTGCGGCTGGCATGCTGCGGCCAGCGCACCGCGCTGATCCAGGAGCCAGGTGCTTCTCCTGGTCTCCCATGTGGGTGCAGGGCCCAAGCACTTGGGCCATCCTCCACTGCCTTCCTGGGCCACAGCAGAGAGCTGGCCTGGAAGAGGGGCAACCAAGAAGAATCCGGCGCCCCGACCGGGACTAGAACCTGGTGTGCTGGCGCCGCTAGGTGGAGGATTAGCCTGTTGAGCCGCGGCGCCGGCCGGCAATGACATCTTCATTCTAGCCGTTAAATTAGCCCAGAGGGACAAAGGGTGTCCTACTGTGCTTTATTTATTTTTATTTTATTTTTTTAATTCACAGGCTTTTATTGGGGTTCTGCTCCCGGTGAGGTTCCCCGGTCCCAACAGAGCAACAGAGCGGGGGCTGGGGAAGTCGCGCGTCAGAGATTGGGAGAGCTCCTTTTTATAGATTCAGGGCATGGGGGTTAAAGGTTTTAGGCGGGTCTGATCCTCATTAGTTGACCTTTAGGCACCTGCAGGGACCTTGACAAGGACTTTCTTCCCCAGAAGTAGGCCTCTCCATTCCTGGAAGTGTAGGCCTTCCCTCCTTGCGGATCCCAAAGCTACCATCCTGACCTTTTGATGATAGGAAAGGGGGCGACGATGAGTCTCTCTGGCTACTTCCTGCTGACTGGGGACGTCGTCTACAGGGGCCCGCTGCGGCTATCTTGGGGCTCCACAGGGACAAGCATGTATGGATGGAGAAGCATCTGGTTGACTGCCTGGTTGCTGAAGGCCTTGGTTCATTCCATTATCACCTGCTGTAAACACTTAAACAGACACTGTAGTATACAAGTCAGGGTGAGAATAGCAACCAATGTTCCTAAGAGTGGCATTAACCAGGTAATGAGAGGATTTCATAGAGGAGAGGAAATGAGGGGGGATCTCTGGACCCTTGTGAGGATGGTTTGATGGATGTGGTTTAAATCTGATCCCAGCTGAGACCAGAAGAAAGGCCATTCTTTTGCAGGTAGAGGGGTTTGTCTGTAGAGAAATTCTGAATAATCAAACAACATTAAATGTGGGAGAGGACCATCAGTACACATATATTGGGAGTAGAGCCATTAATGTTAGAGTAGAGGCTGTGATTACAAAGGAATGAGACCCAAGTGGGCTAGACAGGGTCTAGAACAAAGGACAGAGTCATTATTAGAGGACCCAAGATACTATCTAAGCCACGAATAAGTTCTCTGTGAGGCAAACAGAACCTGACAGAAGGGGCTTGAAAATAATCTGGTGGGCTTTAGGCCTTGTAAGTTAAGAGGTGCAGACTTCTCTATCTCTTCACATAGGGTACATCCTAAGGGAAGTGTGAACCTCCTTGGGGAAGCACCCTGTCGACTTCCATTACCTAGCTGGCCTGGGAGGAGAGCTGGCCAGGTAAAGGCAGGTGGCATCTCTAACAGGAAATTTACAGCTCTGCCTGTAATGTTGCTGACCCTACTTGGCCGTCCCCTCAGCTGCAGTGGTCACCTTGGAAGCTGGGCTGAGTGAAGGGCTTTTCAGCTTAGAGCCAATAAGATCTGTGGCTCTGACCTGGGTGTCCTTCAACTCCAGGGCAGGGCAATTTCCAGTGATCCAACTCTTGGCAGAGCTGCCAGGGCTCTTCACAGGCTGACTTCTGCTGAAGCCCAGGCTTGCCACACTGAAAGCCGCTGCAGTGGACTGGCCTGTTGGGTCTCCTTGAGGACAGATCACTGTACAGAACAGCCATTAATAGGCCTGCCACCTATCATCACATTTCTGATGCCTGGCTTTCTCTTCCTCCTGGTTTTTGTTAAAGCAGACCAGAGGATGCAAGTCAAGGGGGTGCCAGTGCCAGATCACTTACTGACAATAGCAATATCAAATGAAAACTTAGAAAGCAGTTTTAATCATTAGATAACAAATATAGCAGTTTCAATACTAGCTTTTTAAAATTTTTAACTTTTTTTTTTAATTTACCAATTGATTTGAATCACTTTGTAACCTCAGCTAACCATACTTTCAGTTGGTACCTATAATACATTATTGGCTTCATCTGTTTACAGCGCCATCCCAGAGTACTGAATACAATAGAAGTGGCTGGAAAAAGTCCATCAGAACCTGTAAGAGGACAGCTAAGCACAGAACCAACAACACTTTAGTTTTATGAGCAGCAAATCTGATATATAAAACTGTGGATGACAAAAGACTTTTAGTTGCCACGTTTAAAATTATAAACTCATCGCTTGCTTACTTCACATAGCATTTTTGAAAGCACCTGTAGGATTTTACAGAACATTTAACTCTTTAGGTCTCTGTGGCTTTCTCATTAAGATCCAAGATTTCTTTCTTTCATAACCTTCTGTGACTTCCACACATCCTCTTCAACTTGAAACATTCCATCATTTCCATTCTAGTCTAGAGTAAACTAGCCATCAGGATGAAGTCAATCTTACAAACTTTGTCCTTTCTTTATTCAAAATAACTCTTTCCTTTTAACCTTCCTTACCAAATGCACATTTCTATAACATTTTTAACACAAATTTAACATGCTGAGTATACAAGAGTTTACAATAAATTAGCAGTTACACCTAAATGACTTAAGATGCTAATATGATATATCTCTACTGATTGCCCGGAAACCTGTTAAAATAAATTGCAAAAATAAGCTCAGCAAGTTACAAAGCAATATTTTCAAAGGTAGTGGTCTACTTAGATTCAAAGAAAGGAAACCAGAGGAGGAGGCTAGAGAGCCACGTGTCAGGAACAGGTCCCTTTAAAACTTTGCCGGAGGGCAGCCAGGGAAGCAGGAGCCCGATCTTGGCCAGCAAGACCTGGGCCGTGGAGCAGGCAGAGAGGAAATTAGAGGAGAAGAGGGTAGGATGGGAGCGGAGGTCTCAGAAAGCCTGGACATAGGGACCTCTGACCATTTTCTCTCCCTGTGGCAGAAATTCTCAAGGTAATTAGGCCATGCCTGGGTTGAGTAGATTAGGTGTTTACTCCGTAGGTCCTGGGCCAGTCCCAGTTTATTCAAGTTCTTTAGGAGGCAGGCCAGGGGGCATGTTGAGTCCCACCCTCAGGATTGGCCAGATCCCATGGTCTCCCTGGTAGCCTGGATCTACCGAAATTCGGTCAAGGCGTCCCCTGTCCCGGACTTCAGCAGACGGATTAGAGGTCAGTCCTCTACGGGGCCAAGCCAGTGGTGGGGCATCTCCAACAGCCGCTGGGAGGCTAAACAGCGGAGAGAACAGAGGCCACGTGCGCATGATTTGGAGGTCTCTGTCAGGACGGAGAGCTAGCCGGAGATCGCAGAGACTGGGCCAACCCAAAGGAGGGAGGGAGAGCAAGGGAGAAGTTACTACAGTTGGTCGAGCATGGTCCGTAGTCAGCCTGGGGCACCAGACAGGTTCAAGGAGCGAGGGGCCCTCAAACTCAGAAAGGGGAGGCTCGCAACCACAGCTCCCCGGTTTCGGCACCATCTGTAAGGTGTCCAGCGTGTAACAAATCTTCCCAGGCAGACGAATCAATTAATTCACAGGCTTTTATTGGGGTTCCTCTCCCAGGCGAGGTTCCCCAGTCCCAACAGAGCAACAGAGTGGGGGCCGGGGAAGTCGCACCCCTACTGTTGCTTTAATGAACCACGCAGGAGCCTCTTCAGACTGCCAGGCTGAGGGCTATGGCCCTGGTTGTGGCGTCAGCTTTGTCTATGGGCCCAGCCAGCTGCTCTGGGCGTCTGAGGGCCTGGGGCTGCTGCAGCCACCCACACAGCTGGAGGAGCCCCAGGTCTGTGTTGCTGGTACCGCAGCCAGACCCAGCTACCCTGAGATTTCTTCCTGTGCTTGCCTGCTGCCGTCAGTTGTGTTAATTAACGGGCCATTGACCACAGTTTCTCCCTTACCCAAGTGTAGACCCTTTGGCAGGTGTGCGTCCTCACATCTGATCCCCATGTTGGCTGCACCTTACTTATGGTCATGGATCTCTTCATTTCCACCACATCTTTGATTTTTTTTTTCTCATGCCACATCCTTGTGGGAGAAACAGGAAGACCTTCAGAAAGGCATGGAAACTGAGGCAGGGAAGCAGTAGCCGGTTGGCCAGGGCTGGTTCAGTTTTATTTCTCATTGGCAAGAGGGGGCCTTTAGAACAGTCTTTGCTGTCCTCCAAGGGGAGGAAGTGGAGTGAACAGTTGTCCTGTTCTCTTCCCAGATACACTCGATGAGCACCCAATAATGCTGGGGTTCTCAGGATCCCCCTGGGCTAATGGTGCATGTCCATTCATACAACTTACCAGGGCAGGAAGCTGCCACCATGTGTGTCTTTTAAATCATTTTTATCTGAGAGGCAGAAAGACAAAAGCTCTCCCGTCCAGTGGCGGTTCACTCCCCAAATGCCCACAACAGGTGGAACTGGGCCAAGCCAGGAGTCAGGAATCCAGGTCCCCCACATAGGTGGCAGGGACTCAATTGCTTGAGCCACCACTTGCTGCCTCCCAGAGTTTGCATTAGCAGGAAGCTGGAATCAGGAGTGAGGTCAGAACTGAACACAGGAACTCTGATATGGGATGCAGTGCCTCAGGTGATGTCTAACTGCTGGCTGGAAGCCCACCCCACCACCATTTGTCTTATAGGAAACGTTGAGGGGTGGGGGGTGGCCAGGTACCCCTCCCCTCCACTAGCACATGGTGAGGCAGTCATATTAGAATAGTCCCATTAAGTCCAGTCTTTCCATTAGTGGGTTCCAGCTCAGTGCTGGCACAGGTGAGAGTTGGAAGCAGGACCAGAGACAGGAATCTGGGGCCAGCCCAAGACCCTTTCCTTGCAGTTGTCCCCTGCCCTCTTCCTAAGAGAGGAGGAGAGGGCGAGAAGGCCCTGCAAAGGTGGGCAGCATTTGTAATGACAGCTCTTAGCCAGGCTGTTTTGGGCTAGTGCTCACTTCTGCTGCCCACACATATGTCTGTGAAGGAAGAGAGAGCCCCTGAGAGACAGGGAAGGCCCGGAGTGCTGTGAACCACGGGCAGCTGGAAGGACCCAGAGCTGGTCAGAGGGCTTAGCAGTTGGCACAGGCAGATGTTCCGCCACTGTTGGATGAGTCACCTGTGTTTATCTCCACCTGCTGCTAAAAAAAGACTCCTACTTCATAGTCTACACAGGCAAACTGAAACCCCGCAGGTCTGTGTGCAGAAAGGGGGTACAAGGCTGTTATTCCTGGAGCCCAAGGGCCCCTAGAGAGGTGGAGCCTGGGAGTGGGACCGCGAGGGGAAAAGGCAGGACCGAGGCTTCAATCTGGACGAGAGGCCAACGTGACCATGCAGGCTCCAGTGCTGGAGAGTCCTCCTCCATCCTGAGGTCTTTACTCCCTGCAAGGCAGGGAGGAATGTGCTTTGTTTGGAGGTGGTAAAATATGGGTGACCCCGAAATTTACCATTTTGACTATTTTTAGATGTGAAACTCAGTGACATTAAGTACATTCATTTGTTGTGCAGCTGTCACCACCTTCCATCTCCAGAACTTTTTCTTTGTTTAAAAGTTTTATTATTCAGAGGCAGAGTGAATAGAGACAGAGAGGCAGGCAGAGATATTCCATTCCCTGGTTCATTCCCCAAATGCCTACAGCAGCCAGGACGGGGCCAGGCCAATTCTAGGAGCCAAATCTCTTATGTGGGTGGCAGGAACCCTAGTACTTGGGCCATCACCTGCTGTCTCCCAGGCGTATCAGCAGGAAGCTGGGTCAGAAGCAGAGGTGGGCCTTGAGAGTCCAGGCACTCCCATATGGGATGTGCTGTCCCAAAAGGTGGCTTAACCTGCTGTGCCCCTAGAACCTTATCACTGTCCCATATTGAAACTATGTATCCATTAAACACTAACCCCTTCTCTCCCCGGGGCTGCGGCAACCACCATTTTCCTGTTTATGAATTTGACCATTCCAGATAACTAATATGAGTGGAATCTGACAGTATTTGTCCTTGTCTGGCACACTTAGTATTATGGTATCTTTAGGGTTCATTCATGTTGCAGCAAATTTCCGAATTTCTTTTTTAAGGCTGAATACTATTTCACGGTATGGACAGGCTGCACTTGTTAATCCATTCATCTGTTGTTGGGCATGCGGTTCCTCACGTTGTGGCTGTTGTGAATAATGGTGCTATGAAATACCTGTTTGAGTCTCTGAGTTCAGTTCTTTTGAATTTATAGCCACAAGCAGAGTTGCTAGATAATGTAATTCTGTGCTTGGTTTTTTGGAGGAACCACCCTGCTGTTTCCCATAGCAGTTGTACCATTTTGTGTTCCTATCAGCAGTGCACAATGATTCCAATTCCTTTTTTTTTTATTTGACAGAGTTAGACAGAGAGAGAGACAGAAAGGTCTTCTTCCGTTGGTTCACCCCTCAAATGGCCGCTACGGGCGGCACTGCACAGATCTGAAGCCAGGAGCCAGGTGTTCTTCCTGGTCTCCCATGCGGGTGCAGGGCCCAAGCATTTGAGTCATCCTCCACTGCCCTCCTGGGCCACAGCAGAGAGCTGGACTGGAAGAGGAGCAACCGGGACTAGAACCTGGCGCCCATATGGGGTGCCGGTGCTGCAGGCGGAGGTTTAGCCTAGTGAGCCACGGTGCTGGCCCCAATGATTCCAATTTCATCACATCCTCACCAACACCTGCTATTTTCTATCTTTAAAATAATAGCCATGTCAATGTGTGTGAGGTGGTGTCTCTTTGTGGTCTAGGGGAGGAGTTTTTAAAGGGTTAAGATAGGGAGCAGTGGTGAGCGAGGCACTTCCATGCCTCAGTGCTCTTCCCACTTGCTCCTGACCTGGTTGAGCTTCCTGGCCCTTCCCCAGCCCCCAAAATGAGGACTGCTGGTTTGGGTTGGATTGGGTGACATCCAAAGCCCCAGCAGGGAGGTATAATTATCAGTTCTGCAGAGTTGGCAGGCACTTAAAAGGCTATTGCCTAATAATAACAATAGCAATAGCAACAGTGGCGACAGCCAGCCATTGAGCCATTACTGCTGATTAGGTTCTGTTTCACTTAAGGTTCATAATCATCCCACTTTACAAGTGAGCTCAGTGAGACTTAGCTTAAGGTGACACAGCTGGTCAAGAGGAATGCTGAGATCTGAACTTGGCCTGGCCCCAGAGTCTATACGCTCATCCTCAGACCTCCTTGTGTGGACCAGTGGAAGTGTGCACACGAGGTGGTGCACCGGTGGGTGCTTAGTAACTATTTGGTGACAAAGTAAGACTCGTGAGACTGCTTTGAAACAGCTTCAGATAGCACAAGGCTCCCCAAGACTCTCGCTCCACTGAAGACCATTTTCTGGGCTGTAGTAGTGCCCAGAATAAGTCGAGAGAGGGTCTCCTGTGAGTGATCTGCGGCAGGCGTGGTTAGGGACTTGGAGGGGAGGTTTTAGGCAGTGACAGGACAGGCTTGGAGCATCCTCTGTGAGAGGGACAGGAAGGGCCAAGCCACTGTGGTGTTGGATAATAAAAAATTCACGTAGAGGTTGGAGTTTGGCCAGCAGTTCAGAGGCTGGTTTGAACATCTGCATCCCACATCATGGCGCCTGGGATTCAAGTCCCAGCTCTGCTCCTGATTCCAGCTTCTTGTAATGCAGACTCTGGAAGATAGTAAGTGATGGCTCATGTACTGGGGTCCACGCCCCACCCATGCAGGAGACCTGGATTGAGTTCCTGGCTTTTGGTTTCAGCACAGTTCAGCCCAGTTCCTGCTGTTGCAGGTATTTGGGAAGTGATTGGGAGATCTTTGTTTCTTTCTCTCTCTCTCTGCTTCTCAAATAATAAAACAAGCCTTTGTTCAGGGTTTCTAGCATGGAACTTCTGAAACCCATGGAATTTCCAGAGTGACGGAAATAGCTGTTTTATACATGAGCCCCGTGGATCACCCCTGAATTTAGGCTAATGAGGTGACACGTGGTCGGTCCGTCCCTAGCTAGCTCCAGGATGCTGGCTGGTCACCAGAAAGAGCAACCATGTGATCAGAGGACTGGGACTTCGAGCCAGGCAGATCTCCTGAGCTCTGGGGAGGGATGGACGAACTGGAGATAGAGTTCACTCCTGTGGCTAATGGTTTACTCCCATCATGCCCAGGGATTGAAACCCCAGTAAAAGCTGGACACTGACGCTCGATGCAGCCTCCTGTTTGGGGAGCCCGTTGATGTGCCAGGATGGGGAAGGCATGGAGGATCTGCATGTGAGAGCCTTTCAGACCTTGCCTTACAGCTTGGATGAAATGTGCCAGGCCACTGTCAGGGAGTGGCCCTGGCCCCAGGCTGAGTGACAACTGTCGGAGGCTGTTTCTGCACATTCTGGGATAATCATTGTTCAAGTAGGGTTTTTTTTTTTTTTTCAAGATTTATTTTATTTATGTGAAAGGTGGAGTTGGGGAGAGAGAGAGAGAGAGATCTTTCGTTTACTGGTTCACTCCCAAATGCCTTCTACAGCCAGGGCTGGGCCAAGCTGAAGCCAGGAACTTTTGGGTCTCCCACATGGGTGCAGGAGTCCAAACACTTAGACTGTCCTTCTCTGCTTTCCCAGGCACATTAGTAGAGAGCTGGATCAGAAGTGGAGCGGCCGGGACTCAAATGGGCGCCCATATAGGATGCTGGTGCTGCAGGCCACAGCTTTAATCCTCTGCACCACAATGGTGGCCCCGAGTTATTTTAATTCTCTTCTTGCTTTCTAAGATTAGATCAGGATGAAGGATTTTTTACATGAGAAATTGAGTTTTAGAATTTTATCTATTTTTGTGGTTAACATATTTTTAGTTAAATGCTTAATGGTTCTACTAAATAAAGAGTTCAACAACAATAACAAGAAAGACCATAGTCCAGGAGGAAAATAGACAAGGGCTATAAATAATAAAGTGAAAAGATCAACATCACTCATATAACTTTCAAATAGTCACCAGCTCATTAAAACTATAGTAGTAAGTCAACTTGTTTGACAAAGATTTAAAACAAAATTTGACAAAACACTGTATTTGTAGCAAAACTGATAAACACAGGAAGTTATTTTCTTTTTAAATTTTAGCTCCCACATCCAAGAACATAGAGTATTTTTCTTTCTGTGTCTGGCTTATTTCACTCAATATGATATCCCCCAGTTCCAACCGTTTTGCTGCAAATGATAGAATTCCATTCTTTTTTATAGCTGGATAATCTTCTATATTATATATATTTCTTGTATAATATACACACAATCACTTTTCTTACCCATTTGATGATAGACACCTTGGTTGATCCCATGGCTTAGCTATGGTGAACAGTGCTGCCATAAACATGGTGGAGCAGGTATCTCTTTGATAAAAGTAATTCATGTCTTGGGGGTATATACCTAGTAGTGGGATTCACGGATCATAGGGCCGATACTTCTAGTTCTTCAAGAAATCTTTATACTGTTTTCCACAGTGGCTGCACTAAGTTACATTCTCCCCAGCGCTGTGTAAGAGTTTCCCTTTCTCCACATCCTTGCCAGCACTTGTTGCTCTCTTTTGGATAACAGCCTTTCTGACAGCGATAAGCTGATATCTCATTGTGGTTTTCATTTGCACTTCCCCGGTGGCTAGTGATAGTGAGCACTTTTTTATATATTTGTTGGACATTTGTATTTCTTTTGAGAACTGTCTAGTCAGGTCCTTTGCCCATTGCTTAACTGGATTGGATGCTTCTCTGTTGTTGAGTTCTTTGAGCTGCTGATATATTCTGGATACTAATCATTTGCCAGACAAGTAGTTGCAAATATTTTCTCCCATTCTGCTAGATGTCTCTTCACTCTGTTGTTTTCTTTGCTGTACGAAGCTTCTGAGTTTGATAGTTTTGCTCTTATGGTTTGTGCTTTGGGGGTCTTATCTAAGAAGTCATCCCCTACACCAGTGTCTTGAACTGTTTGCCTTACATTTTTTTTCTAGCTGTTTCAAAAGTTTCAGTTCTTAAATTTAGATCTTTGATCCATCTTGAGTTAATTTTTTTTGTGTGTATACATATATATAATGATTTCACTCTTCTACATATATGCATTCAGTTTTGCCAGAACCATTTGTTGATGGACTATCCTTACTCTGCTGTATGGTCTGAGCACTTTTGCCAAAAATTAGTCGGTTGTATGTACGTGGATTAATTTTTGGGTGTTCTTTTCTATTCCATTGATCTATGTGTTGGTTTTTATGTCACGACCATGATGTTTTGGTTACCAGAGCTTTGTAGTGTGCTTTGAAGTCAGGTATTGTGATGCCCCCAGCTTGTTTTTTCTTGCTTGGAATCACTTTGGCTATTCTGGGTGTTCTATAATTCCATATGAATTTTAGGATTTTTTTCTAATTCAGTAAAGAATGCCATTGATCATTTGATAGGGATTGCATTGAATCTATAGATTGCTTTAAATAGTATAGACATTTTAATGATATTCTAATCATTAAGCAAAGAACATCTCATTTTTTGGTGTCCTTGATTTTTTTCATTAATGTTTTATAGTTTACAGTGTATAGATCTTTTTCTTCTTTGGCTCATTTTATTCCCAAATATTTGATTATTTTTGTGGCTATTGTGAGTGGGATTTCCTTTTTGGCAAGTTTATTATTGATGTATAAAGAAAAGCTACTGTATTTTTTTAGGTTGCTGTAACCTGCACCTGCAACTTTGCTGAATTGGTTGATCAGTTCTTTTTCTTTTTAAATATTTATTTACTTATTTGAAAGGCAGAGTTACACAGAGGCAGAGAGAAAGAAAGAGAGTCTTCCACCTGCTGGTTCACTCCCCAAATGGCCACAACAGCCAGAGCTGGACCCATCCAGAGTCTCTCACATGGGTGCAGGGACCCAAGGACTTGGGCCATCTGCTACTGCCTTTCTAGGCCACAGCAGAGAGCTGGATCAGAAGAGGAGCAGCCAGGACTAGAACTGGTGCCCATGTGGTATGCTGGCACTGTAGGTGGCAGCTTTATCTGCTATGCCACAGTGCTGGCCCCAGCTGATCAGTTCTAACAGCTTTTTGGTGGTGTGCTTAGGTTTTTCTATGTACAACATCATGGCATCTGCAAACATGATAATCTGACTTCTTTCTCTCTAATTTTGATTCCCTTTATTTCTTTCTCCTCCCTAATTACTCGCAGTACTATATTGAGTCAGAGTGGTGAAAATGGGCAGCCTTTTTGTGTTCCAGAACTGAGGAGAAATGTTTTCAACTTTTCCCCATTCAGTATTGGAATGGCTGTTTGTTTGTTGTAGATAGCCCTTATAATATTTAGGTATCTTCCTTCTATACCTAGTTTCTGGGGAGCTTTTATCATGAAGGGATGTTGAATCTTATCAGATGCTTCCTCTGTATCTGTTGGGATGATCATATGGGTTTTGTTCATTCTCTTGATGTGATTTATGATGTTTATTGACTTGTGAATGTTGAACCACCCTTCATCTCTTGGATAAATCCCACTTGATCGTGGTGTATGATATTTTTGATGTAGTATTGGATTGGATTTGTGAGTATTTTGTGAATTTTTGCATCTATGCTCATCAAGGATATTGATCTGTAGTTTTCTTTTTGTGTTGTATCTTTGGTTTTGGTATCAGAGCAATGCTGGCCTTGTTAAGAGTTTGGCTAGGTTCCATCCTGTTCAATAATTTGGAGTAGTTTGGAAAGTATTGTAGTTATTTCCTCTTTAAATGTTTTGTAGAATTCTATGGTAAATCCATCAGGTAATAGACTTTTCTTTGATGGGAGACTTTTAATTACTGCCTTGATGTCAATGCTTGTTATAGGTCTGTTTTAGATTGTCTGTATCTTCTTGATTTAATCATGGTAGTTTCTATATATTCAAGAATTTATGCATTTCTTCAAGGGTTTCCAATTCGTTAACACCTACTTAGTTGTTAATAGTAGTTTCTTATGATCCTTTGTATTTCTGTGTTAGTTTTAATATCTTTTTATCTCCAGAGTTTTTTCTTAGTCTGGCTAAGATTCTATTTTGCTTATCTTAAAAAAAAAACCAACTTTTTGTTTTGTATTTTTTAGTTTCATTTCTGCTCTGATTCTTATTTCTCACCTCTGTTAATCTAGGGTTTGATTTTTTTCTAAGTTTTTGAGATGCATCATTATATTTATTTTAGATTTTTTCTTTAAATATATGTATTTATTGCTATAAACTTCCCTCTTTGTACCACTTTTGATATATCCTACAGATTTTGATACATTGTCCTTTCACTTTTATTCAAGAAAGATCTTTTATTTCCTTTCCATTTTTTTCTAGGACTCATTGATCATTCAGTTAGCATGTTGTTGATTTTTGCACTCATTCCTTTGTGGTCTGAGAAGATACATGCTATGATTTGAATCTTTTAAAATTTACTGAGTCTTGATTTGTGGCCTACCAAATGGTCTGTCCTAGAAAATGTTTCATGCGCTGATGAGAAGAATGTATATACTGTAGCTTTGTGAAATGTTCTGTAAATGTCTGTTCGTTCTATTTGCTCAATAGTATGGTTCAACTCTGATGTGTCTTTATTTTCTGTCTGGATGATTTGTTCATTGATGACAGAGGGGTGTTGATATCCTTATGCTATATTGCAGTGTATCTCTCCCTTTAAGTCTAATATTCTCTCTCTCTAGTGTTGGGTACATATATATATTTATCACTGAAGTATTGAGTAGTCTGCAGACAGTCTAATTTGTTTTCCTTTATATGTAATTGGACGCTTTTCTGTTACTGTCTTTAGGATTCTCTCCTTGTCTTTTGGCAATTTGACTACAATATGCCTTGGAGAAGGTCTGTCTGTGGTTGAGTCTGCTTGGGGTTCTTTGAGATTCCTAAATGTAGATGTCCATAGTCCATATCACTTTCAAGACTTGGGAAGTTTTCAATTATACTTTCATTTAGTAGGTTCTCAATGCCTCTTTCCTTTCCTTCTCCTTCAGGAATCCCTGTAGTATGAACATTTGTTCACTTAATGGTATCCCGTATTTCACATAGGCTTTCTTCATTCATTTTAATTCCTTTGTCTTTATTTTTTGTCTGACTGGGTTATTTAAAAACTCTTATCCTGCAAATCAGAAATTCTTTCTCCTGCTTGGTCTGTTCTGCTGTTGAAGCTCTCAATTACACATTTTTATTTCATTGATTTATGTTTTCAACTCCAAAATTTCTGGTTGATTATTTTTAATGATTTCTCCTTAATTTCTCATTCATGTCATTTATTTTTCTCATTTCTTTAAATTGTCTAGCTGTATTTCAGTTGTCTAGCTGTATTCTCTTACAACACATTTAGCTTCCTTCTATTTCAGGAGTGTCGTGGATTCCCCTCAGGATCTATTTCTGGAGAACCATTGTGCTCTTTTGGAGGTGCCGTGCTTCCTTGCTTCTTCCTGTCCTGTGTCCCTGTGGTGATGTCTGCACATCTCGTGTGATAGTCCATTGAATGGAGTAGGTTTTGTTGGAAAAGAGTTTTTATTTTTGTTTTGTTTTGTCTACATGGAATGCAGGGTTTCCCTTGGCTTGTTGCTTTGGCTTTGGTTATAGGTAAGCCCAGAAGTATAACCTCTGGAGTGATTTCCTTAGCTTTAATGAATATCAACAGTGTATATGTCACAGTTCATGGAGTTAGAAGTACTATTTTAAGTGGATGTGGGCTTCCTAGGGTATATATCTTTTTTTAAAAAAAGATTTATTTATTTGAAAGAGTGACACAGAGAGGTCTTCCATCTGCCGGTTCACTCGCCAAGTGGCCACAATGGCTGGTGTTGGGCCAGGCTGACGCCAGAAGTCAGGAGCTTCCTCTGGATCTTCCATGTGGGTGCAGAGGCCCCGTCCCAGGTGCATTAGCAGGGAGCTGAATTAGAAGCATAGCAAGCAGCCAGGAATTGAAATGGCACCCGTATAGGATGCCAGCATTGCAGCTTTACCTGGTATGCCGCAATGCTATCCCCCCCCCCTTTTAATAATTATTTTATTTATTTGAAAGGCAGGGTTATAGAAAGAGAGAGGGAGAGACAGATATTCCATCTGCTGGTTCACTCCCCAAATGGCTGCAATGGCTGGGGCTGGGCCAGACTGAAGCCAGGAGCTAGGAACTTAATCTGGGTCTCCCTCATGGGTGCATGGGCCCAAGGACTTGGGCTATCATCCCCTGTTTTCCCAGGCACATTAATATGGAGCTGGATCAGAAGTGGAGCAGCTGGAACTCCAACCAGAGCCCATGTGGGGTGCCAGCAT